GGATTACACATATGTGGATATGAGTTAGATTTTATATCATGCTTTCTAGACATAGACTTATACATATGCATAGACAAAAACCTTAACTCAAGCCCCTTTCCTATCTGCTCATTTGTTAGTAATAGTTTTTATGATCACAGTTTGTACACATCTGACAACCCTCAAACTCACCCCGTTTATTTAATAACTACATTTCCATATCAAAATAAAACATACTAAAACTTGTTCTTTGTTACCAAATCACTTGCATGTTTTAGGTTTTCTAAAATATAATTCTGAACAACTGAAACACATAGAAATATACTTAGCTCAAACAAATAATTGAGATCACAAGATCATAGTCAAAGCCTTTTGTTTCCATCTTCCACTTGACAAGTTAAAAAAAAACAATGATTTACACTGACCAGAATAAAAAAAGAAAGAAAATAAAAAACATATGATTTAGTCATTAAAAACAGAGTACTGAATTCTGACTATTGAAGGATTTAAAAATTTCATGATTGGGCCCTGTGAATTCATTCTGGATGATAACAAAATATCAAGGTTTGGAGGTGAGAAAAATAAATATTGGTTTTAAAGAGAATGGTAAATTTACATACATTTGATTAGTACTGATTTCATTTCATGGATTTTGCATTTGCTTTAATATGAAATATAAAAGGGCACCAAGAGTGGGGAGAGAGAGATGAGAAAGCTAGGGGCCCCAGAAAGAATAAGGTCTAGGGGTTCTGCTGCAGAGCTTATTTGGTGATTTTAATACAATAACAAATCAATGTCCTCATATTTTGGTATTACCACGTTGACCGGTAAATGGCTACAGCAAATTAGCAGCAAAATTGTGTTATTTCAGATGAGAATTTTGAACCAAGATTGTAAAAGTAGGAATTGAGAGCGTGACAAAGATAAGGGAGGCATTGTTCAGTTGAGAGAATAAACAATGATAGATTTGATGTGCACATTGGCAAAAGAGAAGTTGAGAAGTCTGAAACAACTCACATGTTTTTGATTTTGAAATTAAAAGGATTAGTGCTTTTTATTTTTTAGGTATTTATCAAGCATCTGCTGTGTGCCAAGAATGGTCCAGATGTTCATAATAGTGCAGTAAACTAGACAGACTAGTCCTTCTTTTCATATAAATTTTTTTCTGGTGGAGCAGAGCAATCATAATCAAATAAGCAAATAAATAAAGTTTGGCAATGGTACATAAAGTGAAAGAAAGGGATATAGGAAAGGGTTATTTTCAAAAGAGAAAGAGGAAGACTCATTCAGGGATGACATCTGAGCCAAGACTTGAGAAAAGTGAGGAAATTAATGAATGGTATTTCTATTGCCTTTGGCCTAAGAGTGTTCATATCCTGGGCTTTGGGACAAGTTCTAATTTGCATTCCTATCATAATGTTAATTTCTTATTATTTTTTCACAGTGCAACTGGGGAGCTACTTTTCATCACTCACTAAACCAAGTTTTGAAAACAATGCAGCTAGCAGGCAGTCTTTCATTTTCTATTACAATATTGCTGGCAAGTTCCTTTTCCAAACTCTACATGCTGTTCTAGACACATAGCATCTGAATCATTATCCCCTAAAAATAGATATTCACTTCTCACAAGAATGTTGAATACCCAAAACATAAAATCAGTCATTTCTCTGGCACTCCCAGTCACTACCCTACAGGTGAGAGCTTAACTTTTGTCTTACATTAAGATCACAGGCACGCTGTCAACTTATTTCTGTAGTTTGTTCAGATTTTCAAAAATACCTTGTAAAAACTTTGGAATTTTCAAATGGTTTTAGTGATGAATAAGGAAAAACTTTTGTTTCCATATTTTTGACCCTGCTACACCATACGGGCTGTCACTTTTGCAAAGTTTAAAAAATATCTCATGAAACCACATAACAGCAACCAACTTCCTGACCAAAATTATGATGGAGCTTTTTCTTTCATGCTAAAGAGAAAGAATCCAAGAGTGAGAAAGGTGATCGTGGTGAGTTCTGGTGAATACATATAATACATTTCACTAATGACAATATACGCCAAGAGTGTGTGATTTGCTCAAGGCCACTTCTTTAGTATCAGAAAAGTATTCTCATTCTAATGTTTCAGGTTTTTTTTTTTTAACTTCACCAATAAAGAATGATTAAGATTTATCTGAATTATACAATTGGTGGCTCCCTAAAGCATTTTTGTTGATATCTTTTTGAATTGTAATCCACTATTACTTATAAGGTCATGCCAAAATATAGAGAGATGGAAATTGAAAGCATCAAAGTTGGCCACAGTGACTGGGAACTTATTCCAGATACTAGAGAGGCTTATTAGGGAGGACTGCTTGAGCCCAGGAGGTTGAGGCTGCAGTGAGCTATGATTATGTCACTGTACTGCAGCCTGGACACGGAGAGATCTCATTGCTAAAAGACAAAACAAACAAACAAACAAACACCACCACCAGGAATAATTTAAAATTGACCTATGTAACAGGAGTGATCACATTACTACTAAAAATTTCTAAAACCACATGAATAAATTTATAACTCAGTAAACTCAGCCACTTATTTATATAGTCATTGTGGAATCATTTATTTCAATGGTAAAACATTTTTAATTCTTGATTTGAATGCTTGCTTATATGGACAGTAAATCTTCCAATATATAATGATTAAGTCATTATTAAAAATATTTGTACATAAAGAGATATTTTTAAGTATATTCTTTAGTTGTTCATCAGTGGGTTGCTATTTCAAAAGTATCTAGTTAGTTACATAAGCAATAAGTGAGTGAGTGAGAGAGAAAGTAGGTGAATGTGAATTAACTTGGCAACACTGCTTTTATTTTTCTTTCTAGAAATAAGTTATAAAGTCACTGAGGCAGAAACAAATTTTGACCAGTGCAGACAGCTTCCTATTTTATAGTACTTTGTAATTCCTCTAACCTAATTAGTCTTTTATTCTAAATGCAGAGTTGTAAGATGAACTTTGCTTCCTTGTTTGAATTACATACGTTTAGGCGAACAAGCTAATCATACTATCTTGGTATCAGAAAAAAATAATATTACCTTTGTCTGACTTTTTTTTTTTTTGAGACGGAGTTTCGCTCTTGTTACCCAGGCTGGAGTGCAATGGCACGATCTCGGCTCACCGCAACCTCTGCCTCCTGGGTTCAGGCAATTCTCCTGCCTCAGCCTCCTGAGTAGCTGGGATTACAGGTACGCGCCACCGTGCCCAGCTAATTTTTTGTATTTTTAGTAGAGATGGGGTTTTACCATGTTGACCAGGATGGTCTCGAGCTCTTGACCTCGTGATCCCCCTGCCTCGGCCTCCCAAAGTGCTGGGATTACAGGCGTGAGCCACCACGTGTGGCCAACTTTTAACTTGTGTTGTGTTTTGTAACTACTGTATGCAGTGTCTGTCAAATATTAAGTGCTCCACAGATATTTGTTAATGAATTTAACAAATGAATTACTACTTGGTTTCTAGAATGTATTGTGGGTAAGCAGATGAGCAATTAGTAGCCCCTAGCTGAAACTATTTCCAGAGGATTTTCTAGAAGTTATGTTAGCACAGAACTTAATTTATTTGAAGAAGAAAAGCTTTAGTGGCTCTTTGAATTATGCAATTTTAAGGTAAGAAAGGTTCTGTTTGAAGTAAATCCTCTTCTCCTGAGGAACATTATCAAAAATGTTTTGAACTGAAAAAGTAAACAGAATAATTTAAACACCACTTAAATATAGCAATGCAAATTTAAAATGGAATTTTTAGTCCTGCTTATTTTTTGACATATTTTAATTAAACTATGTTTTCTCATTTGCCCAACCTAGTGAATCTGCCCATGGCTAGGATAAAAGGACATAATTACACACTTAAATTTAATAATATGCTGAAACCAGTCAAGATTTCAAACCTCGGTAAAAAATTGTCCTAAAATGAAAATGTTAAAAAAAAAAAAAAAAAAAAAAGTTGTGTTAACCTGGAAGAATCAGGTAATAGGACAAATTTTAATGTTACTGGATTTTATTTTTAGCAAGGCCAACATCTGGGTCTCAAAGTATGTACACACATGTAGTCTTGATACCTATTTCCCACATCCATTGGTTTGGAACGTTTTGTAAGAATACTAGAAAAGTAGTGAGAAATTCTTACAGATGCTAAGAAGACCGCAGGAAAAAGAGGCTGAGGATTTCCACCTTTTCCCTTTAAATTTCTAATTCATTACTTAATTTCTATTGTAAATAGATTGGTCCCCGCTGATCACCCTGGAAGGCAAGTAAGATCCCAAAAGAGCCTCACTTTAAGGGAAGGAGTTGAAATCCTTGCCGGGTCTTTCAAGATTCGAACCTAGATGGCTGTAATGGTGGGCTAGTTCTGATCATCCCAAAGCACAGCGACTGGAATATTTTCTGATCATACTCCTTGGCCCTGTGGTTGTGCTGTAAAGGTAAAGCTGTCTGCACAAGTGTAGCTGATTGTAACACTGGTTAAAAAAAAAAAAAAGAACAAAAAAACTGCCCTCCCGTCTCAAAGTCTTACAGCATTTGTACTATTAAAACAAAACATCTGAGACTGTAAGAATCAGAATTTTTTCCCCGCCCCCCACACAGTTCTGGAGGCTTGGAAGCCCAGAAGCAAAGTACCTGCAGGTGTGGCTTTCTGGTAAGGCCTCTTCGGTCTTTTTAAGATAATGCCTTGTTGCTGCACGCTGTGGAAAGGGGAAATTCTACATCTTTACACGGCAGAGACAGAAGGGCAACAGGACCGAACACTGTGAAGTCTCTTTTCTAAAGGCCTTAATCTAAATCAAGTACCCTCTACCCACGACAATCACATTCATTTTGGAGGAATCCCATTCAAACACAGCACCCCCTTACGCCTTTCAAGTCCACAGGAACAACTCTGGACTGGTCGGACTGAGGGGAGAAAATCTGCGGTACTACCACCTCTCTTAGAGAAGCCTTCAGTAGTTGTCTTATGGAAGTGAGTGGACCACTTTACCTCAGGACTTTTGGAAGCAGGATTCAGCAGCAGAAGTATGAGACGAGAAGGCCCGGCGCGGCGGCCCACGCCTGTATTTCCAGCACTTTGGGAGGCCGAGGCGGGCGGATCACGAGGTCAGGAGACAGACCATCATGGCTAACATGGTGAAACCCCGTCTCCACTACGAATACAAAAAGTTAGCCAGGCGTGGTGGCGGGCACCTGTAATCCCAGCTTCTCGCCAGGCTGAGGTAGCAGACTGCTTGAACCCGGGAGGTGGAGGTTACACTGAGCTGAGGCTGCGTCACAGACTCCAGCCTGGCAACAGACTACAGCCTGGCAACAGACTGAAACTCCGCCTCAAAAAAAAAAGTGAGACGAGGCGAGGCGAGGCGAGGCGAGGCGTGGCGAGGCGTGGCATGGCGAGGCGAGGCGAGGCGAGGCCCGACCGTACTGATCTTAAGGTAGCTTCATTACCCTAGTGCTTCCTACTGGAGACAGAATGAGACACCAGAATGTTAAGTTTTGTATTCGAAACTGATAAATTGAAAATACCAATTATGAAATTAATCATTCAAATTCACATTTTGAAAGCCACATTATTAAGGAAAGAATATTGGGTTTCTTAGACTGAGAGAAACTGAATAATCTTTTCAGTTCAGAGCATGACTAAGGGAGGGAACAGGGACAGGAACTGGCATGAGGTTGTGTAAGAACCGCAGGGGTAAAGCTGGATCTAATGACGGGAGGAACTTTCTGGAGGAGAGGCATCTTTTGTTTTGCTCTGCACTCTTCTAATCAGGCCCTCACAGATACCTATCTTATTTCAGGGACTTAGTTTTTGCTCTTTTTGCTGCTTGGGGTTTTTCTTATTTAGGATATTCGATGGCTCTTCTTCCTTTTTTTTTTTTTTTTAATTAGAAAAATAAAGGAAAGAAAAGAAAAGGTCTCACTCTTTTGTCCAGGCTGGAGTGCAGTGATTACATGTCTCCTGGGCTCAAGCAATCCTCCCACCTCAGCTACCTGAGTTGCTAGAATTACTGGAGCCCACCTAATTTAAATTATTAGTATTATTATTATTGTTATTTTGGCAGAGATAGGGTCTCGCTATGTTCCCCAAGCCGTTTTCAAACTTCTGGCCTTAAGAAACCTTTCCACCTCAGCCTTCCAAAGTACTGAAATTATAGGCATACGCCACTGCACCCTGCCAATGGCTCTTGTACACGGTATGTATTGCTATACAGTGAATCATCTCAAAACTTCATAGCTTAAAAGATCAGCAAACTGTGTCCTACATGCCTAATCCAGTTTATTTATTTATTTATTTTTGCAGCATGTGAGCGAAAAAGGCTACCTACATTTTTCAGTAGTTGAAAACAATCAAAATAAGTACAATATTTCCTAACATGTAAAATGTATACAAAATGGAAGTTTTTATTATAACAAATCTATGCTCACTTAACTATTATCTATTAAGGCTACTATCATGCTAAAATAGCAAAGTTGAATATTTGCTATAGAGACTATATGTCCTGAAAAGCTTAAAATTTTTACTATCTGGCTGTTACATGAAGTTTTGCCAATTCTTATCCTAAAACAATGATAATTATTTATTATCTCTCATGGATTTTGTCAGAAATTCAAGAACATCTCAGTTGGATAGTTCTGCCTTGGGTCTCTCATGGGGTTACAGTGAGATGTTGGTAGAGAATACAGTTCTGGGAAGGCTTGGCTGGAGTCAGAAACTTCCAACCATGAGGCTGACCATCAGAGTCTGTCCTTTGTCTTCAAATAATGATATATCCTCACACAAACAAAAATAAGCTCATCCATCCGAAGGCCCTATAGTCTCCTCCCTCTAAAGCGTCAGCTCAAATTCAAGGGTCTTACCTTCTAGAATAGTGTCAATTGTGTTTTGTATCCAGTTCCTTTTGAGCTATGAACTGATGAATAGGTCAAAAGGAACTGATTATCTGGTCCCTATATACTCAATCTGCAGTGGTGGGGCAGGCATAGCAAAACTGCACAAAATAGTCCTGATCAGAAAGATGAAATATGAGAGGCATACAGGAGTTATTTCGTCAATAGCAATTCTGAACCGTTGCTGACACAGTTGCTTGAGCCACATCTCTCATCATAACCAGCTAGGAACTGAGCAATTTTTTCTTACAGTGAAAGAAGGGCATACTCACAATTTCCAGGAACACAGTGTGCAAGGTTGTTTGAGAAATCCTAGGAAACTGTGAGCTTCCTCAGTGAGCCTAGAGAGATTTGACGAATCTGAGATTTTGCAAACTTGGCCAATGGGCTTAGAGAGCTTTTGTCTTCTTAGAGATAGTATGTCGTCATTGTTCTAAATTTGGTTTAGGCTAAGAAAGACAAATGTAGATGTTGCAAAAAGCTGACTTGCTTTGCTGCATCTGAGGTCTTGTAAAGGAAAGGCTGTAAATAATTGCTTTAATGCCTCTTGGGTGTATCCTAAATGTTTGCCTGACTTTAAACGTCTTTTAGACTTTGCAGATTTAGGAAGGATAAATATTTAATGATAGACTTACAGAATGAAGTTGAAAAGGGTTAAATTGAAGGAAGATAAGAAGACATTTAGGTCATTGCTCATCCTTTTGTAAAATCTATTATAGAGCCATAAGAAAGAAATGAGATACCATACATTTTTTATAAACCACCTAATAAACAAACCCACAAGCCAATGACTTTTTTTTCCAAACTGAAAATTGCTTTTTAATTTTAAGTAATGCATATTAACTTTGGACATTAAAATGTAATATATAAAATATTATTTAAAACTATTTGAAATATTTGTTATTTAAAAAATGAACAATACAAAGTATAAAATATAAAAAGTAAAATGCTCTACCCTCACCCTGCCTAAGGTAGAAGAAATAAATGCTTCTAACTCTTTCAAGTGATCCAGTCTGACTGGCTTCTGTGCCTCACAATGTCTTTCTTTAGTAGATGATATTACTAAAAATACTATTCTACAGCTTGCATTTTTCGTTTTGAAAGAATGGAGATCCTGTATTTCACATGCAGTCATGTGCCTTTACCCATTTATTTAATGACTCAAATACTTTAAAATTCAATCCACCTTAACCATGACCATATCCCTAACACAAATTGATGTAAGATTATTTTAATGTGTTAGACCTCCTACAAATTTACTTTCTAGACAATATTTATTTTAGATTTATTTTCATATGTATTTATTTCATTACTTTCTTTATGATTTCTCATAATATGTTAGATGTACAGAAAGTGCTTGGTAAACATTTTTTTCCTGCATGCCATTTAAACTGAACTAGAGGCAGTTTACTGTACATTTAAGAGCACTGGCTTTGGTGTCAGAAGCATCTGGATTCAGATCCTGGCTTTGCCATTTTCTAGCTATATGACCTTGGGCATGTTACTTGCAGGTGTCACTGTTTCTTCATTTGCATAAAATGGTTCCTACTCTGACCATACTAGTATTTCCCTTTTCCCCATTTATTTTTCCTTCTACTATCCAAGCATCCTCTCATCTCCTAACACTGCTGGCTGTTCGTTCAGCCCCTGGAATAACTACAAAGGCTACAAAACTGCCTCATTATTCCAGTTGTGTTAGAAGCCACAGGTTACCAGACACTAAGATTTATCTTTGCAAGAGCTGTGGAGGAGATTCAGGTTCCTCCAGTACTTTCAGACTCAGACAAAGAGTGCTTTCAGGTATGTGGTTCATCTTGAAGAACAGAGTCTTTAATGCCCTGTGGGGAGAAATTAGTCTAGTGACAGAGAAGAGGCAGAAGGAGCCCACAGATAAATTCCTTTCCCTTAATCTATCCAAGGACAGTTTTGAAGTATTCCATCATGAATGCTGGAAGATATCCCCCATGATGGAACAATCAGCTGATTTTCTTGTGAAACCATGACCAGCTCAGTAATAACTGCCAGCCACATTTGCTGCCCCTCCCTTGCAATTGATTTTACTTTTGACTTCACTTTTGCCACGCTGGGGTTGCACCTCCAGTAAGGCCTTAGCACATAAAATTTCAGACTCTGTTTTCTAAAGAACTTAGACTAAGACGTATCTAAACAGAGCTAATATGAAGACTAGTACTTAGAAAAATATTTGCAATGTAGTAAATTCCGAACTTAAAAAAGAATCACTATTGTATTCTTTTGTATAAAGAATACAAATTATATTTTTAATATTTTACATGAATAAATAATAAATGTGGCATAATTTCAAAAGAAGCTTCTAGCTATAAACATTGTTTATTTACAAAGTGATTTTATATATACACACATCCAAGAACACACTCTTTGATATACATGTGTAACTCGAATGTATTTCCCACTCCCCACACCTTAGTTCATTCAACTTGATTATTTACTCTATCAGAGATTTTTTTCTTTCAGTAGGTAATTCATTTTACTCTTGTTATTTATCAGATATCTGTCAAGTAACTAACATGCACCTTGTATTGAAAGGTGTTGAAATACAATAGAGAGCAAAACGTTGCCCCTGTCTTTATGACCAAGGCTGCTTACATTGTTCCTTGTAATTTTCATGTTTGCATATGACTTTTTCCTGGCAATTCTCAGTTTTGTCCCTCACAGTGATTCTCAGTAACTGCTGACCTCTGATCAACCCCTCTTCTTAGACTGGGATGCATGTAGTCTGTGCTAAAACAAAGGTTTGATGTTCCTGGCTAGAATCCAGAAAGTCACAAGTCAGTTAAAAGAAATATGGTTTATAACCACTTTCACTGTTGCCTGCTGTCCAGAATGACCTACTCATCACCTCTGTGTCTTGCTGATTTTTCAAGTCTTGATGACTTGTTACAATACAACCGGGGTTGATTTTTCAAATATAACTTTTGTTAGTAGATATCACACAGCAAAAATTGCCACTGCCTCAAGAATTATAGTTTCAGCAATCTACCTTTCAATACTCATACCCAAGGCAATTTTTCCTGAGGTGTGTCAGTGACAGACAGATGGGTGAATCAGCAGAAATTTTCTCCAATCAACCCATGCTGATTCCTGTTCCAGTTTGTTCTTCCAAAGAGTGTGATAATTTCTATGATTGAAGATGCCCAGAGAATTAGTGTCTAAGTCAGAAGTGCAAGAAAGAATTTACCACTTTAAGAAAACTGAAAATAATTTGATAAAGCTAAACAGCTGGAATCAACTTCAACTGAAATTCACCATTCTAGACTTCAAGCATTTAGGCATTGTTTGGAAAATTGTTAATAAAACCAAACTTATTTTTCCCATGGGGCTTGATCGTTTGAAATGAGGTTCAGATTTTAGTTATTTTATAATACAGAAGCAGTAATATGCTACAATGATAGTAATAATAACATTCTTTTAGAAATTTCAGCATACATTTATGTGTGTGTGTGTGTGTGTGTGTGTGTGTGTGTGTGTATAGTAGTACTTAGTGCTCTTTTATAAACCTTTATAG